ACTTTGCAGGACTATGTTTATTTTTAAAACCTCTTTTTCCTGAGCTTGAAGATGCTTGCAACAAATTTGGAGCTAGATGTTATATGCAAACACGTCATGATGCAGCAGTTGGTGTTCTTTTAAAAGGGCTTACTGGTAAAATGGATACACCAGAGAATTGTAGAAATGCATTAGGAAGTCTTTGCCTCTACCTTTCTGGACTTTTTCCGGAACTAAGATCTTTATGTCTATTTTGGCCCGGTACATGCACTCATCTTAAGAAAATTGCAGATGAGCAATGTCAAAATCTTGAAAATGAATTAGAAGCTGTATCAGGTGAAAATTCCAGTGAAGAAAAATGTCAATTAGTTGGAGAATGTTCTCACGTTTCAGGTAATTGTAATGATCAGGTGAAGGCAGACTGTCAAGAACTTACTACAGCATGTGCAAAGAATAAACATGCAAAACGTTCACAATTAGACGAAATTCCACATACAAATAAGACTTTGGTGGAAGGTGTTTTCAATAAAACACTTGAAGAGACAAGCGTTTTTATACAAGTTCATGAAGCAGTTAGTGAAGAACCACATGATCCTTCATTAGCTCTTATGCTTTTGGGTGAAAATGGTCATCATCGTCATCATCATCGTCACCTTGAATCTCAATGTCATCGGCATTTAAACAACTGTTCTCTTTACGATACTGATCCACTTATCAATGAGTTATGTACAAATGGCCATGAAAATTCTAAAGGAGAAGAAGCTTGTCACAAGTTTCCACATAGACTCACTCGGCCTAGCAATGGTTATCTTGCTAATCTTACGAACTTTTTTTCTCAAGGAGGATCTGTTTTAGGAGATACTGATCCTTTCTCTCGTTTATATTCTGCTAATGTTGATGTGAGTGAATGTGAATATGTTTATGGACTGTGCTATTTTTTTGGTCATTATGGAGGCAAACATATTCAAGATGAATGTATTAAATATACAGCACATTGTTATGAAACTTCATTAGCAAAAGCAGCTCTTGAACATATATTGGGTAAAGATTACAATGATTATTCTAGCTTAACAAGTGATTCGCAATATTGTCAAAAACAACTAGCCAATAACTGTAAAAAAATACCTCCTTCAGATTTATTTGGACTCTATTATTGTCTAAAACTTGATTCTACATGTGATACTTTAGAAAGTGTTTCTGAATCCCTATATCAAGAGTCGGAAGACTCGGAAAATGGTCTCTTAGAAGAGGGTCCTTCAGAAAATGATGAGCCTTCAGATGATGATAAACCTTCAGATGATGGATCCTCAAATGGAGAGCCACCGAAAATTGATTAATTTCCTAAAAATGATGAACACGCGAATTAGATTTTGCATTAAATTTCATTTTGCTTTGTTTTTTGCGGAATACTTGAGCATTTAAGTTTTGTTTGATCATGTATATTCTATAAAAGCAAATGTGTTTTTTTAATGGTAGTCTTATATATTAAGCTTATGAGCTTCTAATTAAGGAACAAATAAAAATGTATAATGATTTTAAGATGTATTTTTTAGATTTAATTTTCAAAAGTATGTAATATGGGGAAAAAATGTGAAAAAATATAAAAGATAATGTAGAATTTTAGAAACTTAATGTTAAAATACATAAAATAAACTTGTAAATATTTTTATAAATAAAAAAATAAAAATCTTCAGAACTTGAAAACGTAGTTTAAAATAAATATATTGAATTTATATACCGAATTTAAAAAAAGCTTTTAGTCGATAAGCACCTTCAAAATTAATAAATGGCAATTATAAAGAAAATAAACAAAAATTCATACTTTCAGAGGAAATATCCCCTAATAATGTCGATGTTTACAATAATCTAAGGAACCTATATTGTCAGAAGTATGACAAAACGATTAAGAAAGCTTTTTTAACAACTAAGAAAAATTTAAGAAATTAAAAAAAATATTATTTGAAATTAGACAAGAAAAGAAGCAAATTGATGAAAAATAATGCAAAAATGTTTCAATATTAAGTATACATCATATCTCTGAAAAAAATAAATGATAACTATAAAGATAACCATTGCTAGGCCGAGTGAGTCTATGTGGAAACTTGTGACAAGCTTCTTCTCCTTTAGAATTTTCATGGCCATTTGTACATAACTCATTGATAAGTGGATCAGTATCGTAAAGAGAACAGTTGTTTAAATGCCGATGACATTGAGATTCAAGGTGACGATGATGATGACGATGATGACCATTTTCACCCAAAAGCATAAGAGCTAATGAAGGATCATGTGGTTCTTCACTAACTGCTTCATGAACTTGTATAAAAACGCTTGTCTCTTCAAGTGTTTTATTGAAAACACCTTCCACCAAAGTCTTATTTGTATGTGGAATTTCGTCTAATTGTGAACGTTTTGCATGTTTATTCTTTGCACATGCTGTAGTAAGTTCTTGACAGTCTGCCTTCACCTGATCATTACAATTACCTGAAACGTGAGAACATTCTCCAACTAATTGACATTTTTCTTCACTGGAATTTTCACCTGATACAGCTTCTAATTCATTTTCAAGATTTTGACATTGCTCATCTGCAATTTTCTTAAGATGAGTGCATGTACCGGGCCAAAATAGACATAAAGATCTTAGTTCCGGAAAAAGTCCAGAAAGGTAGAGGCAAAGACTTCCTAATGCATTTCTACAATTCTCTGGTGTATCCATTTTACCAGTAAGCCCTTTTAAAAGAACACCAACTGCTGCATCATGACGTGTTTGCATATAACATCTAGCTCCAAATTTGTTGCAAGCATCTTCAAGCTCAGGAAAAAGAGGTTTTAAAAATAAACATAGTCCTGCAAAGTAATGACATTCATCAACTGTACTAAGAGATAGAAAGATACATGCAATAAAAAAAAGAACTATAAACGTTTGATTTACTAATACATCTACACTTGTTTTATCTACAAAACTGAAAAGAATATATCATTATTCATAAAAATTTGGGTTTAGAAAAGAATATATAAATTACGAGTATGTAGAATGTTAGATTATGTATATACAGTGTTAAAAGCGTCGCAAAATTTCAATAAATAAAGCCATTAACAAAAAAAATAGCTATAATAATGAAAACAGATAGTTTTAAAGATATTTAGGAGACAAAAGAAAATTTACAGCAATTCACATAACAGCTATATGGGCTATAGATACATTAATTGCACATAAGCAAGTTTGCAGTAATTTTTGAAACTATGTTTATAATGATACATGTCAATAAGACAGTGTAAACCTATGAAATATGACAAAAGATACAAAGTAGAAAATTTAAAATTAAGTGATAATTTAAAACAAAAAGTATATATTTAATATATATTTAATAAATGATTAAAGAAAATAAGCAAAAGTAAAAAGTAGAGATTAGAAAAAATAATAATATCTATTTATTTGCATTAATTTAGACTGTTTTAAAAAATAAAATCAATATTCCTTATTTAATTAATTAGTATTTATTGATCATGTTCTTTATTTTTATAATTTTTATAACTAATATTATGTTTTATTTATTCCATATTTATTTCGCATTAAACCTACATTATCCACGAACTATATAAACAGATTAATTACATGATAATACTGGAAACTCTAAACTTGAATTTAAAAAAATTATTACAACTTATTTCATTTTCCTGATATTATAATATAAAATTTAACATAAAATAGAATTATTTGAAATAACAAATTAAAAAAAATTAAAAAATTTTTCATAAATATGATCGTTCATAGTAATTATATATTTTTAATTTCATAAATATGATAAATTTAATGAAAAAAATATAATTTTAAAAATTAAAAATATTAAAAAATATACAAAACATAAAAGAAATGAATATGTAAAACATACATAAACGCGAATATATTCAAATGAATATTAAGAAATTAGTTTTAATAATAGTTATTATTTTAATAAAATAATTTAAAACTTTTAAATAAATTCTTAATTTTAGTTAAAAACTTATCATTTTTCTAAAAATATAACTATAATTATTTAAAATAAAAAACAGATAGTTCAAAGTTAATTATAAAAAAAAAAAATTGAATTCTTTAAAAAACTAAAGCTTATCGTTTTTTATAATTATTTTTTATAAAGTTTATTTAAATTAAAAGATAAAAATTATAATTCATAATCATGTTCTGTATCAGTTTATATGTTACAAAGATGCTCAATATTTCCATTTTCATGGTCTAATATTAAAAATGAACATACTTTATTTGCATTGATTTTAAATATTTTTACATAAAATGAATAATATAAGTTATTTTTGAGATATAAAGATATAATAATTATTAGAAAATCTCATTAATACATTAAAGATAATGTGTAAATTAAGTACAATAAATAGTATTTATGAAAATCTAAGTAGATCATTTTTGAATTTACAATAATTAAAGAAAAATGAGAAAATTTAAAAAAGAAGCCTAATATTTTTTGATTTGAAAAGTTATTTTTAGAATATTAGAACAAAAAATTAAATACTAAAAATTATAAAAATTATAAGACAACATATAATATTTTTAGAGATTATAATGTTTTTATTTTTGATATATCTGGAAATTTTGAAATTTATTATTTAAGACATTATAAAGATCATAGAAATATACTTTTATCGATATTATTAGAAGATAAACTTTGAAACTTTTAAAAGTGTATTAGCAAATTTTATCACGAATTTTATTATGTAATTAATTTAGTTTTTTATATGGTGAAATTTTATCTTTAGACAAAGAAAAGATAGAAATCTTGTGAAAAATACTAATAAAACTTATTCATATTTTGCTTCTTATATTAAGAAATTGCTTTTAAAAAATTCAAAACATGCCCCAAGTTATAAGTATTTATTATTAAAAGATAAATATTTATTATTTAATCTTTGTAATCATTTTATATTTTATAATAAATAAAAAATAAAATATCTACATTAAATTGCAACAGAAATGTAAAAAAATATTTAGAGTATACATTTTACATGACATATTCAACTAGGTAAATATGAAAATATTCAGTGATGTAGATTTGGTATTGTTTTTTTTTTAAAAAAATATAAGATGCTATCTCATTTCCTTTTAGTAAATTACAATCTTTCATTCTTATAATATTCATATTTTTAACAATAAATAAGGATAGTTTACAAAAGAAATATATAACATTTTTTAAGATTATTGTATCCATTGTTAAATAATATTTTTTAATCTTTATAAATATTGTAGTAAAAGGTATAATGATAAATGTAAAGTTTGGATATTAAAGTGAAAATACTATCTAATCACATAGAAAATATATTTATGGGTTCATGATTTCTAAAAAATAGTGTTTCTATTATGTCACACAGTAACATGTTGAGTAATTATACCTTTATAACTTAATATAAAGTTACAGAAGAATATATTTATTTTAAATATACTTATAATGATATGTATAGTTTAAATACTATTTGAAAAAAAATCAAGGAAAACTTATCAAGTTATTTTACTATTAAATATCTATTGTTTTGAAGTTTTAACTTATATTGAATATATTTTGAATCTATATTATAAATTAGAAAAAAATAAGATACTGTTTACATGGTTTTGTACTCTTAATAACTTCCCTTAAAAATTTTATTATCTTTTAAAAGTATATAAAGAGTTAAAAAAAAATTACTAGAACTAAATGAACATTCTTTATTATAACGTATCTTATACTTGAAAGTCTAATTATTTATCTAATATTTTTTATAATCTTTAAAATATATATATAATATTAAAAAGTGTTTTAAACATAATCTGAAAATGATTCTGGAGAGCTTAAACCTATTAGACTAGTTTAATTTTAAAATTAAATTAGTTTTATGTTCAAATTTTAAATTATACTGTTTGAATAAAATATAATTTACTTTATTGTTTCTTAATGAAGCATAATATCTTAATTTAAATAATAATAATATTAAAAAAATAAATACCTTTTATTTTTTTCTAGCAATTTAAAAAAACAATTTTCAAAAACATTAATAAAATATAAATAATCTTAAAAATATAAATATGTTATTAAAAACAACAAAATTAAGATTTAATTATTAAAAATTAAACTAGCTTAAACATTTTCCCGCGATCAAACTATATGAAATGTTATTTTTTGTTAAACATAATCTAAAAGTAAATTAGCAAAACTAAAAATTAAGAATTTTTTTAAAATGAAAAATAAAAAATAATAAAATATATTTTTAATCTTATTAATACTAAACTTTGAAAATTCGATAATTTTCTAAAAAAAATTAAAACCAATAAAATAATATTTAACTTTTTTTTTTCTATTTCTAATTTCAAAACTAGTGTTTATTAAATATTAGTTTTTGAATAGAAATTTATCTTTAAAAATAAATTTTATATATACTTATGATGAATAGATGTTTTTATACTTATTCTCATCACTTATATTAAGTATATTGTCTTAAAAAAATGTGTTTTAGATTCTTTATTAGATTTTATTTTTTAAAATTCAAGTTTATTTTTAAATTTAAAAAACCAATGAAATTTTAAACATTTATTGTTAAACATTTATTGTGTTTAAAGATTTTTTAAATAATATAATTTATTTAATTTTAAAAAATAATAATGTTAATAAATATAAAACTTTTTAAAATGAACATTATAACGAAATATAATATCATAGCATAAACATAAAAGGTATATACCTAAAATTGAAGAATATATACGAAAGCATAAAAAGCTTATCTAAAAATTTTAAAAGTTAAAATTGATCAAAAATACAAAATTACTTTAACTAAAAATATTTATCTAAAAAACTATACACAAAAATTACATAAATAAATACAAAGATTATGAATAAAAATATATGTTTTTAAGAGAAACATCTCATATTTTTAAGCATATATTTAATATAATCTGAAGTAATTGTTATACCCGAAAATATAGCAATTTAGTAAATGAAGTTTAACGTGAAAGATAACATATTTATAGCTAAATACTTTAACTTCAATCCTATGTACAACTATAGTGAAAAAATATTCTAAAAATTTTTAAAACCTTTAAGAATATCAAAAATATTTTTAAGAATTTGAGAAATATAACATACTTTTTACTAGAAAAATACAACTTTTGTGAATTAGATTATAATAATAGTCCTAATCGTAACAAATTTATTAAAAAATAAAAGAAAAAAATTACCAGATAGATATATCCAAAACACTAGGATTCGATAAATTAATTTTCTATAAGAAAAAATAAACCTAAAAAAATTTTTTAAAGAATTAGTATAAGAAAACATTACATTAAAAATTTTAATCAAAAAAGTCTAACTAGTATTTCTCCAATGCTTATATGAATTTATATTTAAAAGATTAAAAAAAACAAATGCAAAGAGTAGTTAAAATAGAATTAATATTTTATTGATCGACTAATTTAAAAAAAACATTATAAAAAGAAAAAAATAAATATGAAAAATTAGATACTATTAACTTAAAGATGTAATATTTTTGAAAATAAAACTTTAGAATAAAAATTTTAATCTAGATTATAATTACAGGTTTTAACAACATACCAAATATTACAAAAAAAGAGTAGATAAATCTAATGTCATAAATCTAATGTCGAAATATAGTTCTGTAATACCATTTAGACTTTATCATATTTTTATATCTTATTTGGCTCTAAAATTAACATGTTACTAGAAGATTTTAAAAGAATATACAAATGAACATTTGTATACTAAATTAATTGGACATTTACATAACTCAACAACAAGCTGACGCAAAGAATTAATAGTAAAATTAACAAGTCTCTCTAGATTCTTTTAAAATATAAATGACATTGTCTTTTCAATAAGCATAGGATAACAAACAATACTATTAACAAAAAGATTACAATAAACTAAAGAAAAGCTACAAGAGTCATCTGTTAGATAATAAATTTTCATATATAATTAAAATATAGAAAATAAAGTTTTATTATTATCACTTTTAAAGAAATACTATTTAAAAACAATCAATTTAAAAAAAAAAAAAACGAATTACAAAATAAAAAAATAGCATCCTTACAAACAACAATCCAGAAAGCCAAATGTCATCTTTAAAATATACTCAATTCTTTATATTTCTTTACAGGTGAAAATAAAATCATTTAAAATTCGTCGACGTCATTAAAACAAATAAAAAAAGAATATTCAAATAATTAAGTTTTAATTCTGAAAAATCTAAAAATAAATACAAGAATATAAAAAATATAATTAACATATAAATGTAGATTTAAATACGTTTAAAACTTTACAATTTGACAGTATTAAATAAAAAATTAAAAAAATGAGGAGTTCAAAGAATTTATCAGCTTTAAAGTACTACTAAAATACATATAAAATCATTATTAATAAATAATAAATACATAAAAAGCGAATAAGGATAGTTATTTTTAAAGAAAATATTTTTGCATTAAAAAACTCATACATTTTAAGAAATAAGTATTATAAGAGCATTAAAGTTCTAAGAACTCTTTTAAGCATAGTTAAAAACTCAAACAGTTAAAACAAATGTCGATTAGACCTAAGAGTAATTTTTTAAAACTATAGAAAATAAATAAAAAATACGTTTATGTGAAAAAAATATCTAAAACGTTTTTTAAATAGCCAGAACAGAATATGCTATTCTTGAATTAGAAACTAATGATTCATTTAGAAACATCATCAGTAAAACATGTCTTTTGTTTAAAAATATTACTTTTGTAAATTAATCGACAATAATTTCAAACATAAAAAATCCAAAAATAAATTTAAAAAGATGACATACTTATTATGAGAACTATTTTCTGTTAAATAAAACTACTTTCTATAATTACACAAAAAATAAAGTTAAAAAAATTCTTCAAAACAACACAAAAAGATATGTTTAAAAAACATTAGTCTAAAAAGATAATCGAAATATTAATATTGTAAATTTAAAATGTTTTTAACACCAATGTTGGGAAAATGTGTTTATTAAAATATAAATATTCTAGAAATTAAAAAAGAAATTAAAAAATCAATAGAATATGTATTATAATAATGAAATAAAAAAACATATAATATTTTAAACATCTAGGCATGAAAAAAATTATAATTAAAAAAAAATTTTGTTAAAAAGAATTTTTTAAAAAAAATCCAAATAAAAAGTACTATTAAATCAACTAAATTCCTAGAAAAATAAATGGTGAAAACGATATAATTAACATAAGTCTCAATTTATTTTAGAAGTGATTTAGAAAATAAAAGATATACATGATGCCAAAAAACTTAAGACATTAACTAACGAATTATTAAAAAGTAAATCACTTGGGTATTTTTAGCTTAGTCTTACCAAATAAGCACAAGAAATATTAACAACTGGTAAACAAATACTAAGGATTAAACAAAAATTATTTATAACATTGCCTAGAAAATAATAGTATATATGGAAAATTAAGACAAAATATTTAAAATTGAAAGACTAAAAATCATTGATATTTTAAAAATTATCAATTAATAACGTAAGAATATTATATTTCTTTCTAGGGTTCTGCTGCTATGACTTTATTCTGAATTATACATAAATTTTATAGAAAACACTAACCAAAATATAAATATTTGTAGAATTAGCGTAAGAGCTAAAAAAAGAAATGAATCTTTTAAAAATTTTAAAAATTTAATAAAAATTTATAAAATATACTAACATTGTTTTATTAATATCTAAAAGAATAGATAATAAAAATCAAGTCATTAAATAAAAATATTATCTTTAATAATTATAAAAACTTTATAAACTTGTAAATATAATTATGATTATTAAACGGCACTGATAACGGTACTGATAACGGCGTTGATAATAATAAAAATATTTCGCTATACAAAAAGGGAATTAAATAAACTAAAAGCTAAGAAAATAGACTCCCAAATAAACAAAGATTTTAAAATCAAAAACAAAATATTTTTTAAATTATAATACTTTTTATACCAAAGATATATATATTTTTGCATATAATAAAAACAAGAGAGGATTAGTAGGAAAATACTAAGGATATAATTGAGAGGACTCAAAGAATATATGTAATTTTAAAATTTTTAAAAATATAAAAACTCTATAAAAATATTTAAATATCTGTCTTAAAAACTCTTGATATATGCACAAAAATAAAAGGACATTATAAAATAAATATACAATATAAGGATTCACTTTTACAAAACTCTTCATACTTATATGCCTAAAAAACTAAGGTTTCATAAAAACCTAAAATCTAGTAAGATCAAGAATACTTAAAATCAACTTTAAAATAGTTTACACTTTCTTTTGTAGTTCACTACATTTTTATTTTATTTACATTTTCATAGTCTTCATCTAACATTAACTTAAATCTGTCTACTCATTCTTTGTAGTATTAGCAGAAAAATGGAAAATATTAAAATTCAAAAAATATAAATTTTAAAAATATTAAATCAAATGTTATATAACATGTTCATGCACCACGATATATTTAAGATCAATATTCACAAAGCAATGATCAAAATTATAGATTGAATTAATAATTAAAAAATATAATTAAGAATATACTATAAATATAAAATAGATTTCAAGTCACAATGTTAAAAAATAAATATAAAACGCACTAAATATATTAGCATCTTACAACAATACAGAGATACAAATTCTATAATTCTAAATAAATAATACATATTTTAATTCAAACAAAAAATCATACTCTCGATATTAGATTGAAATCTTATCTTAAATCTTATTCTTACTATATATCTTATTCAAACTCACAATTTCTTCAATTAAATGAAAAATTAGATTATACAAAAAGATAAAAAGATAAAAATACTAATACATAGACTAATATAATCCAAACTTAGCTACATAAATCATAAAGTATGTTATTAAATTTGTTAATTTAAGAACCTTTTAAACTAGCTCTTTTTCAAAAAGAAATCCTTTTATAAAAACTCTTCAACCTATAAATAATATATTTATCTATAGCATCTGAGCAATAAACATCATTTGAGTGCTTATTTATTTATCATTTTCTAGACACTATTTTTTAAAGGCCGAAACTTTCACATGTTTTTTTCATATTAAAAAATTCACATTACTCAAGTAAAAAGCAACATTTTCAAATTTCTTTCGTCGAGTCCCTTCGTTAAGCCCCGATCTTCTATTCACTCATGAAGACTCTTATATTTACGCTTCTTTTTTACATAATATCTGTTTTTTCAAAAAGCATTAGTACTCGAGGTTATTTTTCTTTTTTTTTTTTATAGCTTTTTAATTTTTTAGATCATTGGAAAATATATGGTTTTGCCCACAAAGCTGAGTATGAAAAATCTTAGCATTTTAAGCATCCAATATTCATGAGATTTATATAGGACATGGCAACTTGCTTGTTACTTCATAACCATAACAGGTGATTCAGATAATTATAACTGCACATATACAAATAAGGGATTATGTCGAGAATTATCTACTGCATATGGTGGTTTAGATACTATAGATAGGCGGTTAAAAGATATATGTGCTAAAGTGGAAACTAGAGAAAGCTGCAACGGATATATTAATGAAGTGATCGGAGGTGCTAAAGATCTTCATCGAGAATTATTACAACACAGAGAATATTCGCCTCAAGAATGCAGGACTATATTTGGTTTATGCTCTATGTTTTGGTCACATTATCGTCCTCTTCTTGAGGTATGCGAACAAATGATGGTTTCTTGCGTTGGTCGAACACGTCAAGATGCAGCCAATCACATCCTTTTAAGAGGTCTTCAGAAGGATTTGAAGGATCCTGATTTATTTAGAGACAAATTAGGCGGTCTGTGCTACAAACTAGGTGACTTGAGTCCAGAATTGAGGGGTCTCTGCGTAAACTGGAAAAACACTTGGGAAATCCTAAAGGAGATAGCCGGTGAGGAATGTCCACAATTAGAAGAGGCTCTTAAAAATGCGTTGAGAACGGAACAAGTAACTCATGGGACATGTCAACTTCTTTCGAGATGTGCTGGGATTGGAGAATGCAGTCTTGATGTAAAACGGTTGTGTCTTCAGCTTACGACTCAATGTTTAATGTTTCGACATGTGGATGGATCAGTTATGTATGATTCTTCAAAGATTACTGAATATGAAGTAAACAAATTTTTTTTTGGTATATACGAGAAATATGGTTTTGATATTCAGCCTCATGATTATGCTTCACAATACCCTGAAGATCCTTCTCTAAGTCTCATGCTTTATCGTGAAGGGAGCGGACCGTTTGACCCATCATGTCCTAGACATCTGGGCGATTGTGACACTCACCGTTCTGATTCGTATTTGTTATCTCATTGCGATGGTACTCCACATGAGAGACGAAATCTATGTGATGGTTTTCAGCGGAGGATGGAATATGATAATCCTCATGGTCACATTGGTCCTCTTTATAACAGCTTTTCTCATAAAAATACTTCGAATTATCGTTCTGATAAACTCTACAGCTCTTCTTTTTACAATGGTTATGATCGGGATTTCTGTAGGCATACCTTAGCAGATTGTTTTTTTTATGTCTCTGGGAGTGGCGGTTATCTTAAACATAATTGTGATAGAGCTCAATTAATATGTACTAAAAAATCAATGGCAAGACTGCTTGTTAAGGACGCATCAAATCTTCACGAGGAAGACGATTTTATAGAAAGAACGTGGTGTGGAAAGCGATTAACTCAAAAGTGTATAGAATATAAAGATCCAGATCCTTATACTCTTAATTTATGTTTACATCCTGGAGATACATGTAATGTCTATGATTATTAATGAGTATTGAAAGGTTAAGTTTTGTATTGAATTTTATATTTTTGGGGAATTGAAATATTTGGAGTTATTTAATTATATATTCAATGAAGAATTATTTTAATAGTAATACTTTTTATGTAAATTAAAATCATAAATTTAATCATTAGTCATAATTCTTTATCTTTTCTGTAGTATTATGTTTGTTAACTGATTGATCCAGTAAGATTATATGTACTCGGTTTTTTTAATTTTGTTTTTGTATCAATTCTATATTATTAATGATACTAAATAGCTTGGTAGAGACCTTATTTTTGATAAGTTAATCGAGGACATATCCTGATATTCTAATTAATGATATGAAATAAAAACACAGTTTACCTAAAAATTTACCAATATTACCATATTGTTTTTAGGATTTATCTCAGATAATATTCCATACAACTAAAAAACAATTAGAAGTATATAATGATTTTGAGAAAAGGCATCTTTTAAGTTTATTGAAAAAAAGAATAATCCAAAAAAAAGAGAAAAACATAAATGGCATTATAAAGTTCTGAAAAGTCTGACACCAAAAATAAGATAAATGCATGAAAACTTATAGGTTTTTATGGAAATACAAAATAAACAGAAAAATACAAAATTTAAAATTCAAAGTAAAAGCACTAAATTTTAAAAAATCTTAATGATATAATTAATAAATAAATTTCAGAATTAACGAATAATAAATGCAAAATGAACAAGAATCTCTACTTTTAAAAAGAGCATGCTTTGACTTTATAGAAAACTATAATAAACTAAGAGATTTATGCTATAAGAAAAAACATAATAAAATAGAAGTTTTTTTAAAGATACTAAAGGAACAGAATTTCAATAACCAAGAAAAATTTAAGAAATTAAAAAAATATTGCTTAAAATTAAACAAGAAAAAAAGTAAAATAAAGCAAAAATGTCTTAATATCAAATATACATAGGTATTTCTAAAGAAAAAAGCAAACAATGAGTCTAAATTTCTAAAAACAAGAGAAAAAATGCTTACAAATGTTGCTAACGAAATGTTAATGAAATGTATTTGTTACTGCTTAAACAATGATATTTTTACAGTTAAAATAATGAGAACATTGAAAAGGCAAATTGTATAAGTCTTGAGAACCGATTTAAAAAGAAAAAACTCACATATAGAGCACCTGCTTCACATTTTAATCTTATAAGACTAGGGATTATATTAGCAGAAAAACAACTTTGGAAAATCTTTATAAAATCTTTATAGAGACAAGGCCAAAAAAATAAATTTATTTAATTTAATGAAAAAAATCTTAAAAAATAATTACAAAATCTTTACAAAATCTTTGAAAGTGCTTGATTTTAAGATTTATCTGGAAATAACTTTAATAGAAGAAAAAATGTAATAGTTTGCTAAAATATATATTTTTATTTTTTCAGAAATAATTTGAACATATTTTACAAGTTTTTTGTCTAATTTATGTAAAAAAATCATCCTATAATACAACATTAACGTTTTTTACTAAAAAAGATTCAACTTGATTTATTACTTTTATTTAAAAGATTAAGTCTCTCAAAATTATGCAGTAACCCAAAGAGTTTTGCAGAAAAGGACTTGCTGTACAGGCGAATGGGGTGTTGCAAAACGTATTGTGAAGAATATTATTAAATTTTAAAATGTAAGTTGAAAACTTTTGTTGAAAGAGATTTTCTAGCAAAAAAAATTGCAGAAATTATAAAAATATAGAATATTGGGAAGAAATTTAAAAAAGATGCAATAATTATATTATATACTAAACTAATATTATGGTATCTTAAAGTCTAGAATATTTTTAAGAAAATTTCTAGGACAAAAATTTAAATGATTTTAATTTTATAGAAAATCAGAGAAAGCGATATAATAATTTAAAGAAAAACACAGTTTACTTTAATGCATAAAAAATTGTTTGCAAGATTATCATAATCATAAGAAATATTAAATCTAAGTGTACTAGATTAAAAGCATATATAAATGAAAATAATATTCTAGAAAATGTAAAAAAGATAACAAAAGAAAAACAATCTATAGATCTTTGAAATTGTATTGTAATAAGTTCATTTTGTGTTGCAAAGATCTAACAAATGCTGACTATAGATTTTAAATAGATTGTGAAAAATTCAAAGACAAATATGAATTATTCATTAAAAAGAAGATATTAAAAATAAAGCGAATCATAAATTAAAAAAAAAAAAGTTGTCAAAAAATGATGGATCTAAGCCATTCAACAGATTAATGCTTTATGTAAAAATGAAAAAAGAAAGATTAAATTAGAAAAAAAGTAAGAAATAGTTGAAATAAATAAATAAATAGGCAATATTTAGAATTATAGAACTTAGAAATGCAAGTAGAGTTAAAGAGAATATTAAAAAAAACAGGGAATTCGATAGAAAAAATAAATTTTCTCTACACTAAAAGAAATAAACAATAGATTAGAAAATAGTATTGCATCTAATATTCCAGATGTATTTGTTAAATTAAGAAATTTATATTAATTTAAACTTTTAGAAAAAAAATATGAAATTACAAACGAAAAAAACTATACATTTAATTTGGTAACAAATATATTTGCTTTATGATTGTCGTTTTTCTTTGTTACTATTTTCTTGAGGATTTATTTCTAACGGTTTCAGTGTTATGTATAGATAATTTAATATTTTGTACATTCGTTAGCTAAATATTTTCTTTTGAAGCTAAATTTATTTTATAAATCACATTTCTTTTAATCTTGCATAAAGATAGATGAAGCAAGAAATACGGAAGGAGAGGAGAAAATGCACGTTAATTTGCACAGCAAACACGTGAGTTGCATGTAGATCAATACACATCAATACTTTTACAATAAATATGCAATTACATTAACTGTAATATTAATGTTGACAAGGCTCTAAATCTACGCAAGATATACAATAATTGAATGTTATGAAGCAAAATAGAAAATCGAAAGTGGATGAGTGAAATCCAATAAAAGAAGTAGTAATAGTAGTGGTTATTTCGGTTATGATCTAAAAAGATGAATGAATGAAAAAGGTTAAAAAAGGGTACGTATATTTAAAAGAAACGAACAAGCAAAATAGAGGAAAAAACTAGAAAATAAAGAGTAATATCTTTTCATTAATTTACAATAGATTTTTCTATAATTCATGTTTTCTTATCAGTCTGTTTATCGCTACTTTTATAATCCACT